ATCTAAAATTCAACTAAAAATATAATAAATCCAACTTATTACAACGCCACGCAAACGACTGATTACAACCCTGTGCTGGTACTGAACTCGTACCAAGAAGGCGAATTCACCAATGAACGCTGCCCTTTCCATCTGACACTGGGCGATCACGTGAACATCACGGTTCGGTTTTGTTTTGTTTTACTCTATCTTGGATTTGGATAGACTTCTAACATCTAATATCAAGGGGAATGTTGAGAGTCCACAAATTGAACATTTCAGTGGTACATTATTGCCAGGTCTGAACATTTTGAAGCAATTTAGAAAAATTTATTTAAAAAAAAATGTTTACTGAGCATTTCTGAACCTGATAATTGTTGTTGCCTTCTAGATAATAGTATTGTGATTACTAAAAATATTGTAACTGTGGACTTACAAGTAATTACTCTTGTCCAGAAGTTTTTGAAATTAACAGATTTCTATATTTCACCTTGTAAATCATCAGAATTAGGTATCTATTTGGATTCAACTCATGAAATGAGTTCACTTTAACCGAGAAAAATAAGTGATAAAGTTCATAAATGTATGACATTGCCAATTGAACATAAGCATGTAATTATTCCATTACTACATTTGCTATAATTTTTTCCTGAATTGAATGAAAGTAATATATTTTTTTCAATTCTATTCATTATTAATATTATTATCAGATTTAAATATATATGGAACTTTCCAAAACTGTTATTTGATTCAAGTTGATATATTTTTGCTAACTTTGTAATAAATGTAAACTATAGTTTATTGCATATAGGGAAGATGCTTTCTCCTGATTTGTTTGTTGTAGTGAAAGAGTATGTTTTGCTCATTTTTTAATAATTTGATTCACCATATTGTAGATTTTCCAAAGATGGATAAAACATGGACGGTAGTTAAATTCTTAGAAGAGAATTCTGTGGAAGCAGTTCCCACACATTGGTTAATTGGAAACACTCATTGTGTCTGGCCACCCTACCCTAGAGAAAAAGTAATAAATTCCATCCGAACTTATGAGAACATGAATACATGTTGGCCTAGCCACAAAGTATCCATTTTCCGTAATGGAACATACAGTTAGTAGATTATTCTGTCAGGGATTCTATAATTCCAGGAAAAGTTTTATACATTGTGTATGACTAATCTTTGATTAACAAATTAATTGTATTCTATTATATTTTCATTTTTTCAGATAATTACCTGGAAGCTCGAAACAAAACAAAGGTTGCGGAATACAGTAGCGACTTGAATGAGGAAGATTCAAAGTCCAGAAAATACAGAAAAAAAAAGAATAAAATTTCGTCCTCTGACGAAAGTGAAGAAGATGAAACGTACAGTAAATTACCTCCTCCTCCATCTAAAACAAGGGATAAAGATACTCCACCCAACACTGATGAGTTTGAATCCAATGCTCTATCATCTCCAATGAATGAAGGTGAATAATTTTCAATTTTTTTAAATTCTAGATTCTGCAGTAATGTAACTTTTCTGAACTAAAACATATAGTTGAGAGAATTATTGAAATATAAGCAAAATATGATAATCGATTCATCTGATAATACAAATGAGGGGAACCAATGGAAATCGAATTCTTGTTTTGAATTTAGTATTCAGTTTGAATAAAAAAGTTGGACCTCAATTCTGAAAATACATGCCTAATTTGCTTTAAAAGACATATGACTGTCATCTTTTCGACAATACCACGATGATTTCTCCATTACTGAAAAGTATGGTACCTACTGCAATAATATGAATATTCCCAAAAAATATCTAGGAATAGAACTTTTAGAAAGTGCTCATTTATGAATAAATTGTCATAACCCTTGCCATATATTGATCTATCTTCAAATAATAATAGTAGTAGTGGTTTTGTACAATTTTTCCAAGAAAATTATGGATATGAATACTATGGAAAATCAGTGATATTCAATGAACTAAGCATGCTTACATTAAACAATTTTGATTTACAGCACCACCGAAATCACCTGGTGATTTGGCCAATGAAAAAGAACTGTTGCCATTGCTGTCCAATTCATGGGAATCAAAATATTGGTGAGCATCTTCTTTAGTGAACTTATTGATCAGTCCTTAAATAACTAATAGATGAAAAAATGTTTTGCTTTTTTTTTTAATTTTTTTGTATTTTTTAGATGAAACTATGAAAAAAATCAGCAAACAATACTATTTCATCAGTAGCATTTTGACTGATATCAGTTCAAAACTGGAGAACCTCAGAACCAATGATGAGCATGGTCGTAATTCCTAAGAAGAGATTGATTCCCTTTTCACTAAATTTCAATTTTTTCCTCTGAACAATGCTGAAGATCTGAATACCATTGAGGAATATTTGAAAGAAAACAATAATTTCAGAGCAGCTGTGAGTGCACATAAAAAACTGATATTTTGTTTGCAAGTACCTATCTCACTTTTTTCTTTCAGTGTAATGAGATGTCTAAAATAGGAGGCTGCAATTTGTATGAATTTATAAA